TGTTTCTTGATGAACTTTTGTGGATGGCCATTTTCAATTAGGGAGTCATACACAGTCCAAAGTTCATCTTCCCCTACTTCTTCTGGGAATATAGCTCTGACTCTGTAGCTGAGGGTCCTTATTAAATTTCTCTTGTACTGGAGAAGAACAAAGCTATGAAAATGTGTATATTGTCCTGTCCATGTACTTTTCTTATGCAAATTTCTCTTTATACTACCATCTGGTTTCCTTGTAAGAAGGATGTCTAGGAAAGCGATGCTATTTTGGGATTTCTGTTCACACGTGAATTTGATAGCTGATTTTACTTTATTGAACTGAGTTATTATTGCGCTTGGCATATTTAACGAAGTTAGCTTTGGAAGAGTATGGAAGGTTATGCAAAAAGAAAGAATAAAGGAATGGAGAGAGTACAGCGCCTTGAGACACACCAGTTTCTGTTAGCAACGAAGTGGAACGCTTTTCACTAAAAACAGTATGTTAGTTTCTATCCAAAAAATAAGAAGATAGCCACCTTGTGACCCAGGGCTTAGTGTTTGCTGAAATCAGCTTGCTTAGTAAAATTTCCCCGAGGAATAGGGTCAAAAGCAGGAGTGTAATTAAAAAAGGAGGCTCGAGCAAACTTTTCACCTATATCAAGACTTGAAACAATATTGTGGTATAGTACAACGACAGTATCTAATGTGCCTCTACTGCATTTGTAAGCAAACCACTTTGGCTAATTAAAAGATTTCAAAGAAGGTTTAAGAACATGCAAGAGAAGTTTCTGCATAGTTTTCAGAAATTGAAATGTGATGGCGAATGGTCTAAACTTTAGAACTGATCCAGAAGACGACTGTGGTACAGACACCATCTTTATTTCCTTCCACGCAACATGTACTGTGTCCCTGTGAAACGATGCATTAAAGATTTGAGTAAGAGGATAACACAAACTGTCAGCAAACTTTTGAAGCAAAATCCTTGGTACACCATCTGGTCCTAGGCTGTGTGGTGAATTTAAGGATTTAAGATATGAAAATCCATCCTTTTCATCAAAACCAAGAAGTCTCTGTCACAACTGAGTTGATTTTCAAGGATGTGGTCACCAGCCTCATACGCAACCCCCTCTCTTTTGCCAGGTTAAGGACCTGCTAATAAATTGGTCAGCTAGTAAACTAGGTAAGGTCATGTCTTTGACACCCTCATCCATGAGGGTCTGGTGTTCTACAGGGGTTCATTTGCCGTGGAAAGGGTTAATCAGCAATGCCTATGGCTTCACACGATGAGTGACATAGAAGTTAAGCATAAATGAAAGAAACCAACATTTCTGTAGGATCTGTCATACTAGGTTTTCTAACAATTTTTCTTCATAAAGTCTAAGGCAATAAATAGGTTAATTAACTGTGTCCAATAGTTAGCAGTAATCATTAGGACTATTTTAAACGTATGAAACTGCATGACAGGTAATAGCTTATTCATTAGAACTAACAGGTGAAAAACTCGATTGTTGGATACCCAATTGATCATTTAAAGTTTACTGTACTTTTTCAATTGTTGTTTTTATTTTATTCACTTATTTATTTTATTTAACAGTTGACCAATGTTCATGTATAATCAGATTTAATAGCCATTTTATTGTCTAAAACCAGTATAACTAACTAACTGTACACAAGTAGTAAGTAGTTATTACTATTATTACTAATATTCTCTTGGCTTCCGAGTGGAGCATACGGCTACAACAGCATGCATCCATTTTTTCCTGATCTGTACACTCCTATTTACCTAGTTCCATGATAACCAGTAAGCTGTCATTTCTTCCTCATACTATCTCCTCCATGTCACCCTCCGACCAATGCTGAACTCGTCATTTCCCTCTCTAGGGTCTGCCCGACGAGTGATGTCACTCATCAATCTCCTCAGTGAGTGCCTAATCCATTTCCATCTCCTAAGGCATATTCGTTGTGCGATAGTTTCATGGTTGATCCTTTCTAGTCATCTGATCTTCAGCAATGAGTGAAAGCAACTGCTGAAGAAAGTCTTCAGGCTGTTGGAAATGCTTTCTGTGACGTATACCGCAAGTCACTGATGCATACAAAACCAGTGGCTTAGCATTTGTGTTGAAAATAGGAATCATGGACTCTATGATGACTGAATGCAGAAAATTTCCACACCCATTTCAGAGTGATGAAGGTCTGTCTTGCCTTTCCGATCTTGGCTAGCTTTGACTTCATCTCTATACTGCCTTTATAATAAGCAGCTAAAACTATTATATTTAAATTATATTTTTATTTCTTTGAATATATGACGTTCAGATGACAAGTGTTGCTAAAGGATATCACATCGTAGTTTCTCTACATTTGACTTACAAGTAGCATAGTTGACAGTTAATCAGTTATGTAAAATAAAAGCGATTATTAATAGCTAATCATATTCTAATACCTCAAGTAGTCTATGATGCATCGGTGGTTTAGTGGGTAGATACTCTCCAGCCACACCACAAGTGTGTCGGTGGTATAGCGGTTAGAATGCTCGCCGAACATGCACATGGTCCAGAGTTCGATCCCCGGCCACCGACGCACTCCTTTACCTCGCTGAGTCAGAAATAATGCTGGTAAAGAGGAAAGGTTGGGCATGAGACTAGTAACCCCATCCTGTAAAAACTAAACACTGCTGCTGAATGTTCAAGCCACTAGCTTCAAGCCCTATGTTCCACTGGGAACGTGAAGGAAAAATTAAATTATTATTATCCTAAGGAGCTATTATGCAACCCGGCCTGTAATCTTTGAAAAAGCCGAAAATATGCTCAATTACTAACCTCAAAAGTAAAGAGATAATTATGTCACATCCCGCACCATTTACCAATTTATATGTGTGTACACAAATAAATAGGGAGGAGTAATTGTGCATTGTATGTGAGGGTGGGAGAGCATGTTCCGAAACAGTTAGAAAGACAGATGAACTTTGGGAAATCAGTAGACAGGGACAACAGGCTGCCAACTTCATCTATAGCCAAACATCTGGTCCATAAGAACCATAAGATGGATATTAACACAGTTTTTAGGGTCATATTTAAAAATGGTCAAGCGCGCTTATCGAAATACACTGAGGCTATAGCTATTCATAAACTTAAGCCCCTCCACCATGTGTGTCCGAACTAATTCGTAAAAATCAATGTGATTCTTGCTAGTGAACTGCTACAGGACGAAGGGATTCTAGTGAGAAGTCGTGACCAGTGGGGTCCATCTAGTCTGCAGTGAGGACGGAGTTCCCGCCAGTGACATTGATTGGTGATGGCGCTAAAATCAAGAATTCGTAGAAGTTAGAATTCATGGGCTGGCTAACAAAACAGGTGCCCAGTATTCTCTTCTGGCTTTCATTGACTCTCTAACTGATGTCGATCAGTGGTCTAATGTGAAACAAATAGAATCCCTACAAACTAATTCTTGAAAATTTATTTTTACTCTTAACCTAAATATATAAAAAATAAAAACATCATCCGTGCTCTGGGGTTCTATCCCCTACGGATGCACTCCTAAATCTCTCTTAGCCACTCATAAGCCTGGCAAATAGGTAATTTTGTGCGTGAGGCTAGAAATCCCAACCCGTAAAGTAAATAATAAACTACATTGCTACTGAAACGTCTAAGCTCATGCTTTGAAGTCGTCCTGTGTTCCAAGCGGAACACAAAGGAGTACAAAAAAGAGTAGTACATGATAGGGGAAAGAATTCTGGACACATAATTTGGAATGCATCTGAGCGAACCACAGTGTTTCTATCAATTTTAATAAATTTGAATTAAAATTAAGTGAAACAATTTTGAGAAACGATAGTTAGTATTTGTTTATTTTTAGACTAGATACTAATAATTGTTTTACAATGGATGATTTTGAACTTCTATTCAGTTTAAGTGCATTTAGATTTTTTATATATGACTTAAAAACCCCCTTAAAATAACATGTTCTCTCCAACGACAATGGAATATTCTACTGGTTCCTTCTATATAGCGTTAGTGGTACAGTGGTATAATGCTCACCAACCAGGCAGTTGGTCTGCAGTCCTATTCCTGGCCAACGCACTCTTGTACCTCTTTCTCTAAGCTAGTAATAAGACTCATAAAGAGGGAAGGTTGGGCATGATAATGGCACCCCCGTCCCATAAGAATAAAAATCCACTGCTTCCGAAACTTCAAAGCCGTAGCTTCAAACCATATGCTCCACTGGGAACGTTAAGGAATATAATAATAATAATTCTATATGTGTCTCCGCGAAAGCAGGTGAACTTGTAGATACAATATGAAGTAGAGATCATAGAAGCTTATTCTGTAATCGTGGGGACAGGAAGCTAAAATGTCTGACAGGCTAGGAAAAGGGATGCAGAATAAAACGCATGCTTGGTAGACGACTGAGCTATCAATAGGTTTGACTTTAAGGCTTGTTTACCCTGGACTAGTTGACCTGTTAAAATACGACTGGCTATTAATATGCATAAAACTATACACTGTCGATTGGTTGATTGATTGATTGATTTAGGTGAATATTTGCATACTGCTCATATCAACCAGTGTTGCTTGCTAGGCAGCCAGATTAGTGAGGTTATTTAAACACTGGACGACCGTTTCGCTCATCAGTGGTGTACCCAGTTTTTACTCAGCTCAGAGAGCCCAATAAAGTTCAAACCGCCCGATTTCTGTCTGGCTAGCTACTTGGGCCAACTATTGACATTATTCAGGTCCCATACTTTGATATGCTAGATACCATAAATGTTCAGATCACCTGAATCTGGCTAGCTAGCAAGCACTACTTTTTGATGATATGGGTGGTAAACTGCCACTTATCTCAGTAAGTCAGTAGTATATAGTTTTAGCCTAAATATGCTTGCCTTCCTGATAATTTGGTTTCCTCTGGAAACTATGGTGAAAACTTCAGTCGATTGTAGCAAAACTACTAAATGATGTCATCTCGTATTGTTTGTCTTTTCATTCCACAATTTATTTTTATTTATGCTCTTTTTAATTTTAATTTTAGGCATATTTAACAGTCTACCTTTTGCATTCATTACATTTACCTAAAGTTACCATGGCTTTGGTGCCATTAACTGTTTATCTAACAAGTATTGCTACAATTATTGTACAAAAACCAATTCAAGATCTTATTAGTCGTGAAGTAAGTTCACAAATTTCATAAATAGCAAGTTTTCAGGTATTGGTTTTTGTAGGGATTTGGTTTGATTGGTTGGAGGATTTCATCATGAGCTGACATCAGTTAGAGAACCATTGGAAAATTGGCAGAAGTTAGAATTCATGAGCTGGTCAATGGATCGGGTCCCAGTGGCTTAATGGTCTACAAGCTAGCTCGCCTTGTAATCAGAAGGTCCTGCGGTAGAATCTTCGGTGGGCACGTACTGATAAAGAGTCCCAAAATAGGCTGACGAAACAGCTGTCCAGTACTCCTAGTCGGTTTTCCAATAGTTCTCTAACTGATGTCAGTCCATGGTGAAATCCTCCAACCAAATTGAAAGTTGGTCATTTTTGTGGTTTTTCTAGGGATTATAACTAACTTCAGTGTACAGTTCGTCACGAAAAGACATCAATTAGAGGACTATTGAAAGTCGAGCAACAATAGACAACTATTTCATACTAGTTTGTTTCTATTCAACAATTGCAAAACTGACGGATGCATGGATGGTGCATTAGAGAGAATTGTCTCATCTAACTTTTGGACACCTCTTCTTTATTTAATTATATGTTCAGTGTTTTAAAAAGTTCGGTTTATTTAGAGATAACGATTCGTTGGTCGTTTAGTCTTTTTTAATGTTAAATCATAAAAGGAAGATATGAAGGGAGAATGAAAATACAAACACGTGGTTCAGCGAAGGGATTGTTCTCGGTAAATTCTTTCTCCCCATTAGCTGTATAATCGCATTTACACACAATTTTTTTCATGAAAGAGGGTAGTAACAGAAGTGATCAGTTGTCACAATCAGAGTTGGTAGCATTAGTAAGTGCATACGAATAGTTGAATAGTATTGTAGTTGAATAAGTGTATTGTAGTTACATAATAAGACGAATAGCTCAATGACCGAGATGTAATCAGGAGGTATATGGAAACGAAGAAAAATATGGAATCATGTAAGAGTTAGAAAGAGTTAGAAAAATAAGGTTGTCACCATGATAGTAGAAGTGAGTGAATAATTTTCTTTGGTATGTGTAGCTCCGGTTTTTTCTTTAACTGAAGGGCTAAAGCTTCAGAAATGCAAAGGAGATGAAAGCGTATTGCCTTTGGCAGGTTGGCCTTCACTTTGTAGATTACTTTTAAGGGGGTATTTGTTGAGGTGGAGTGACCAGTATTAACAAGGTGTTCGATTACAGCAATCTTTACAGAGCCACTACTACCTTTCTGGAACCATAGTAGATAATGTTCTTGGACCTTTTTAAACAGGATACGCGTTGAACGACCAGTTTACCTGGCTTTACAAGAATAGATGAACTGATATATCCAAATAGAAGTAGTCAGATGTGAGATATTGTCCTTAGGGCTTCTGCAGACTAATGAACAACTGGAGGAGCCTACTCTTAGTGTTGCTGCGATGGATGGTCTTCTCAAAGATGGTGAGATTCTTCTCTAAAGAATATCACAGGTTAAGTAACCCCTTTAGATCCAGGTTCATGTAAAGTCTCTTTTTTGGAACCAGCTGTAGAAATTTGCACTGACCTTGCTAAAGTTACATCAGGTTGTCTTGTTATTTTCATATCAACAAAGGTAATTTCGGACTCGTTTTCCATTTCAAAAGTGAATTTTATTGCCGGACTGCAGTTAATAAATACTTGTAACAATCGGATGAGGTCATAACTATTGTCTCAAATGATAAAAATGTTATCTACATACCTTGTGTACAGTTGTAAATTGTCAATGGTCGACTTTAATGGACCGTTCTCAGTACTAGTTATAAAACAGTCTACTAGTAATGGATCTTTGGGTGATCCCATTGCGATACCATCCTTTTGTCTGTAGATAGTGTCATTGGAAGTGAATTTAAGTTTGAGAATACACTTTGATTGGACACTAGTAACTAGTGTGATGTTTCTAGTCCTTTGTTTGGTGCAGACTGAATTCTATCAGTGACGTTTGCAATGAGGACACCATTCTAGGTAGCTCGCCATCAGGGTGCACATTAATTTGATGATAACTGATGGTTGGAGGCAATCGGTAGGAAGTCTTGGGCCTAGGTTTTGTGCTAGTTGGCACTCACCAGTCAGCAATGCGTATCTGCAACCTCGAAGGAACTCATGTCCCTCCCGAGATTCGAACCCGCATCACCTAATGTCGCAGTCTGTAGTAAAACAAAGGACTAGGCACATGAAACTAGTTAGTGTCCAATCGAAAGTGCCCACCACAGTCCTACAGGAGCTCGAAAACCAACCCGGGTAGCTCAATGGTCACGTCTGTGACTGCAGCACTGGGTGACGCAAGTTCGAATCTCAGAAGGGACATGATTCTAGGTTCCTAGTCGTTATAGTAGGATTTTGGAGTAATTTTATCAAGACGTTAAAATGCTGGAAAGTTAAAATACTTTTCTGTTTCAAATGATCATTTGAGAACTGGTGAGTTATATTCACCAACTTAGCCTTAAACTAACTCATATGTAGTAATTTACTGTACTTGAAATATTAGTATTTCGAGATGACGGAATTACAAGAATCCAAACAAAACTCAGAGAGGGCAGCAATCAGGAATTTGTATTTAGCGGAATTATTATTCAATTCATATATGAAAATATTAACAATCAACAGTAAGTATTTAAACAATACAAAGATAGAAATAGTCAATCACCACATCCGCCACACGTTGAATGTCTCCTTGCGTATTTATAATGATATCACGGTTTGCTTGCCAGTCTCTGTGATCTAACTGATTCGGTGATATCATTTCCATCAGTATCATCTAGACTTATTTCTGAATTATCTACAAAATCATTATTAGCGGAATCAATAATATTATAATTGGAACGACCTACTTCATTTATTGTCACTTTGTCCAGGTGTCCGTTATGAACTGAGTGATCTTTGATGTCTAATATCTTCACCACTCGATTTCCCATTTTTTGTAGTATAATTCCAACAGAAGGTCTATAGTCATTCCCTTTGTAATAATGTACATTAGAAGTCGTGGACATCAGATGCTTTTTGAGAATTCGAGATTTGAAAAGTTTTGCAGGACTTTCACGGGTACTTGTAGGCTCTGCATTCGACAGACGCAGTCTAAGCATATGCAGTAATTCCTCATTTTTAATCTGTTGCTCTCTCATCTCATTCAGGTCTTTTCGTGTTTTCGACAGTTCACATTGTAACTCAGCTACCTCATTTTTGAAAACAGTTGACACTTGAGTTGCCGAACTTGTAGTGGAGGTTTTCATTGGATTAGCTTGAGTATTCTGAAAGGTTGAAAGACACATTGACTCCATTTTACTAGACAGCTTGGGAGAATTATAAGAATGTTGAGCAACATAAGTATTCGAACTTCTGCAAACCGTCTTGATGTGTCCAACTTTACCACATTTGTGACACTTAGCACCCCGAAAACGGCAAATGCTTCGTAGATGTAACTTTCCACAGGATAAACACGGTTTAATGTTTTTGATATCTCGCTGCATTCTATTACCTGTGGACGGCAGTTTGGATTGCTTTCCATTACCAGCTGTATTTTCGACTTTAGAAAGCATAACATCAGACACTGACGTAGTGGGAGCAGAGTATTCATTATGGACATCTTCATATGTAATACATACATCTTTAGCAGTTTGAAACGTACAAGAAGGAATCTGAATTAACTCTTTCTCTAACTTAGGAATATTGATTCCAGCAATTAGACGATCACGTAGTTGAGTATGCAGCTGATCTCCAAAGTTACACTTTGAGACTTGAATTTGAAGTTGAAGAATGAAGTCTCTAATCTTCTGGTTGGGAGAACGTACCAGTTTGTTGAAGTGAGCCCTCTCTCTGGTCTCAAATGTAGTCACATGAAAGTGATTTGTCAGAAGTTCACGGATCTTGTCATATGACAGAGAAATGGGTTTATCTGGAAACGCCAGATTCTTCACCAGGCTATATGCATCAAGCCCAATAGTAGTGATGAAATGTGCAGGTATTTTGTCATCCCGAACATTCTTGGAAATGCACCACGCATCAAAGCATTCCAAATAATCAGAAATCTCCCGCGGAGACCCATTAATGGGGAATTTTCCCAGGTTACTTAACTCCATCGCGACGCCAATTTGTAGTAATTTACTGTACTTGAAATATTAGTATTTCGAGATGACGGAATTACAAGAATCCAAACAAAACTCAGAGAGGGCAGCAATCAGGAATCTGTATTTGGCGGAATTATTATTCAATTCATATATGAAAATATTAACAATCAACAGTAAGTATTTAAACAATACAAAGATAGAAATAGTCAATCACCACATCATATCTCCATATTGATTTTGCAACAAACGGGGTTTAAGTTGGTCGTACAAGTTTCGGTCAGATTGATAGTATTGCTGTCGGGAAGCCGGTTTGGTCCCCTTTTATTAGACTGTTATTGTTGATTGATAGCTTTTTATTCCCTATACATTTTGCCGTCTTTCCAATCTAAGTTTACTATTTTACACTTTGACACCGATGTTTATTATATAGTACTGACTACTGTTTTATTAACCTCGTTTGTACATTCCACTCTAGATTATACTTCATACGGTGTAAAATATTCTGTCGGATATAAATGCCAGTATTCTGACTAGTTTCATATGAATTCTCCCTTGAATATAAATACAATTGTCCAGAATATCTGAAGATGATTCGTCGAGAAGAAACATCTCTTCCATATAAATTTTTTTTGTTTTTAAATATCACACTGTGAGACAGTAAACAAATCAACTGTATTCGAAAGGCGATCCATTAAGGAATACTGGAGAATAGGAAAGCAGACAACACGGCTCATCAAAAAGAGAAATTATGCAAAATATGAAATGCCTACATTTCATATATGAGAAACAACTCTGTACAATTATATACATTTTACAAGATTATTTATATAATACCCATTCCAATTTTTGATGTTATCTAACTGTTTCGCAAAAATGTGAACAACATCAAAAACACCAACACTTCTATGCATATCTATGAACTGAAGTGAGAACTTCACTCCATGTGTTAGTTTGCAAAGCAGAAGTGATCGGTTACAGGTTTAATCACAAGCTGACATCAGATAGAGAGAACCATTGGTAGTACTGGACAGCTGTTTTGTCAGCTTAGTTTTGAACTCTTCATCTGTACGCACACACTAGGGTTCAAACCCAGGACCCACCGGGGTTACAAGAGAACCTCGTGAAGCTTTCAGCCAACATAGAACTTTGCACACAGGAGTAACAGTTCGAGTTGTCTCACTCCCTCCATGTAGCACACAAAGCAAGAGAAAAGAGTAAAGAGAGATTCAAAACAGAGTGAGGAAAAAAGAATAGTAATATTAAAGGACAGTAGATTTTTATTGGATATGATAAATCACAAAGAGTGAATGCATTTACGCCAGCCATTGAGAACGAGAATTATGAAGCATATCACCGATTGTCTCCAGCCATCGTTAGTTCTTACTATCCCGAAGACTTCAACCAGGAAGTCTACAGTTTCTTACGTGACCATTCATTGAGACCCACCAAGTCAGGTGTTAGAATTCATGGGTCAGTGTATCAGGTCTCGGTATCTGAATGACCAACGACTTTGCCTTATAACTGGAAGGTCCTAGGTCTGAAGCCTATTGAATGTTTACTTCTCAGGAGTCTCAAACCTGAACGAAACAGCTGTCCAGTACTCTTCCCTGGTTTTCAAAATAGTTCTCTAACTAATACCATCTCTTGATCCAACCTGAAATGAAAGTGTGATATCTATTTTTAGAAACCTAAAAATGTCTTGTGTGTCATCTCAAATAGTCGATAAGTGCAAAAGAGGTTTAATCGAACTCTTTTTTTTAAAAAATCTGATTGAAAGGCCCTAGTAATTAATCTAATTCAACTGCCAGTCTATCCAGAGACACTAGACTATTAACGTCGACAGTGTATTCATCAATGTGACTTTACCACAGTTCATGAGTTTAAACAAAATGTAATATACAACAAGTAATATTAGGTAATTTCTACTACAAATCATAAATACTTTCATTAGACTAAACTTAACTAAACTGTACATAATGGGCCATATATGTGTATATAATTTCAATCACACTCTGAATTAAAAGAAACAGAAAAAATAAAATAAAAATGTGATTGTTTAATTCGACAGTATTATTCATTGTGTTTACAATTTGATTTAAACAAGTGTCTGGAATGTATCGCTATTATGTAATCGTGTAATAACTAACGAAATTGATAAACATGAATAAACCTTGTCAATGTAATGATATATTTATATATATAAATACATATGTATACAATAAACAAACCAACTAATTTAATTTGTATGCATTTATGTTCAAGGGAAGTTATCACGCATAACAGAAAGAGAGAGAGAGACAATGTAGAACTGTGTAGAGCACAATGAATGTTCACCTTTTCTTTAATAAGGAACAACCTATACAGACAAATCGATGGTGTAGCAATGGGGGGTCGCCACTAAGACCCATTCTAGCTGAAATTTACCTTGCGAAACTAGACAATGCGTATTTGAAAGATGTAATTGATGAACTAGAATTCTACTATAGGTACATGAATGATACATTTTTGATTATAAAAAATGAGATTGAAGCAAAGAACATCCTAGATAAATTTAACGAGGTTCATCCTGCAATAAATTTTACTATTGAGAAAGAAAAAGACTCTAATATTCCATTTTTAGACGTCTTTATGACCAGAAAAGAGGATGGCACAATAAGAACAAGTGCATATAGAAAACCGACATCAACGGGTCAGTATACGCATTTTTTTCAACTTCGTGCCCTTGAAATACAAAAGCAATGTTATAAAGTACTTGGTTCATAGAGCAAGAGAAATTTGCTCTGATGAATGGCTTAATAAAGAACTTAATATTATTAAACGGTTGCTGAATGAGAACGGTTATCCAGAAAAATTCATCGATAAGAATATGAATCAAAAATCAAGACAGTCCAAGGTACCAATAGTTCCTAAAAAAGACATTATTCTTACAACTTCAGTTCCTTGAGGGAAAACATCAGAGAGATATTAACAGAACGCCTTAGAAATGTGGTAAAAAAAAGCATTCAATGCTGGTGAATTCCTCTGTGTCTTCAAAACCACCCCTATTTTGCATTAAAGAGTACAAGATAAACTGACTAATTTCGCCACTTCTATGGGTAACTACCAATTTTACTGGTCCTGTGGAGCCAGTTAGTTGCATAGGCCGTACAATTAGGCGTGTTTCTCGTCAGATTTCCGAACACTACCCTGCATGGTTAAGTAAAGGACAAACAAAATCCATTTGTAGCGCTAATCTATCTCATCTTGTGGATACAGAACACAAGAGGGATGTCAACTTGGCTTTCAGAGTCATTTACCCCATACTAACTTCCTCTTAAGAGTTCATCTACTACATATTTCTGAGGCCGTTGAGATCCATATTAAGAGACCTGACTTATTTGTCCAATAAAGTTTGGTCCAGACACTGTCCTTACCTTTTCTATCAATCAAGATTTTAATGGTCCTCAATCTTTTGTGAAAATTCCTTTGATTTTATTTGATATTCTATTTGCTATTACATTTTTATGCTTATTATAGTTTATGCATCTTTAGTGAACTGTAATTCCATTTAATCTTACTTTACAAATCGATATTATTTAGAAAACACCAATATCGCTATTGGCGACTATTCTAAAATATTTTATGCATATAAATACATACACATAATTGTAGAGCCAGAAGAGGAGGGAATTATCGAAAAGGATATTCTTCGCTCAGTTTTTTTTTCTAGATGTCTGAATGAATGTTTTCACTATATTGAAATCTCATTACAGTTAGATGTCACCTTTGTCCTCGAAATATTAATTCTTTCAGTAAATATTAACAATAATAATAATATTGATTGTTATATCATGATAAAATAGAAACAGTGGACCTTCATCCTGATACTGTTGTAGTTTTCTTATTTCTGAAGGTCTGCGTTTTATTCTTGTTGTATTAAATGACTGTATGTTCAGTAAGCGAAGTAAAAGAATAGGGAGTTGTCATCTGAAGTGATTATAAACTAGTGGTATCCGTTAGGGAAGCCCATTGTCCGTTTTCCTGTTTAATTTCACCATAGATATACTAATCAACTGAACCCTAGATGATTTCAACAGCTTAGGGATTGACGTGTTACTAAGAAGTAATGTCGTTGACGTGGAATATGCGGGTGATATAGTCCCCTCCCTTCTAGGTGAAGGTTGTGACAAAGTAGAACAGAGTCTTCTGAACATCTTGAATGGCAGCAATCTTCGAAAATTTGAAGGTAGTCAATCTGTAGCAGTTACAAGTTATGGATCATTTGATTTCAACCGAGGGTTGTAAATGATGATGATGAGTGAGTCTTATAATATTCCCTAGAAAACCTAAGTGTCATGAATTCATCCCTTCATCATGTTGGTTTCGGCAGTACACTTTCTCAAACTACTACCACTACTCCTTCAGTTTATGAGTTATCGAGTTGATGTCATCTGGTGGAAAAATCTACCTTTAGAAAAAATAAAAAATTATTTCAGTTCTTCAGTGATCATGTAATTCTAAGAGTATATAGAAGATTATTTTATGTAACTGTTAACTGCAGGGAGAAAACAAGAAGTTCAGCAAAGATATCCTTCCTATGATTTCGTTCTCGATAGCATTTGCATTTAGATGGTTGGAGGCAATCGGCAGGAAGCCTTCGACCTAGTTTTAGTGCTAGTTGGCACTCACCAGTCAGCAAGACGTGTCTGACACCTTAAAGGAACTCATGTCCCTTCTGAGGTTCGAAACCGCGTCACCCAATGCTGCAGTCAGAGACGTTACAACTGAACTGTTTGGCCTCGCCATTGACCTCCTGTAGGACTGTATTTGATACTTTTGATTGGACACTACCTTCTAACTAGTGTAATGTGTCTAGTCCTCTGTTTGGCGCAGACTGAATTCTATTGGTCACGTTTGCAACATGACCACCACTCTTGGTGGTTCGCCGTCATGGTGCACGATTTAAGGCTTCATGTGGCCAATTGCCTCCAGCCATCTAATACCAACAATTCAAAGTGAACCATAATGGCTAGCCACCTAGAATGGTGGCCACATTACAAACGTGACTGATAGAATTCAGTCTACACCAAACAGAGGACTAGACACGTTACACTAGTTACTAAGTAGTATCCAATCAAAAGCTTATACAATTGCAATTTTTCGTACATTTTCATTCTACAAATGAGCCTACTTACAAGTAGTGTTTAACTAAACGTTATGACAAAGTTGAAGTTAAGTGAAAAGAATATTTTTTTTTACTATGGCATTAAAAACTGCTATGGTAGTCTGTTGAGAGGCGAAGATTAATCACAAACAGCATAGAAACTAGAACTCTACTGGCTTGGAATTATAGTTACAAAGTGCATAGAATGATCGATTTTCAGTGGACTTGTTTCATAATGTAAATGACTCTGAATAATGAGTTACTGCAGATAATGTGACGAGTGCTCGTGTGGTACTTTATAATCGCACTTCTGATTGTGAACCAATGTCATCTGTTTGCAGTCATTCTGCGTATTATTCCCTAACTAGCTTTGAAACAACGCTCAGAGAACTACCTATACACCAGGCTTCACAGGTGCAGGTAAAATTGTATACACACATTGGAGTATTTTAAATCCGGAAACTTGTCCTTCAAGTTGCTTAGAATCGGTGAGTGCCTAGAGAATAGGACTTTTAGAGTGGTCGTCGTCGTCAGAAAAGTCCTCCTCAGGGAGTTACAGATTCTCTTCCTTCCGTTTTTTTTACCCCAAAGTGAAGGCAGATGCTAGACACTATCCCTGTCTTTCAGGATACAATTTCTGAAAACACATTTTTACTGAACTTCTTGCTCACCCCAACCCACACTGATCACCTTAATTTCCTAATGGCTATTTTCCCATACTTGTTTCCTTCATATTTTCATCTTTATTTCTTTTTCTTTTTTAGATGAATTCTGGTATAGGTCTTATTTTTGTCACAATCTTTTGTATACTAGTCAGTTATCCTGGTAATCCCCGCTGCTTCATCGTATTTATATTGCTGCTGGTATTCTCGGCATTGGTTGTACAACTATTCTGATTACATCATTAGCTATGGTCTCAGATTTAATAGCTAAAAATCAAAAACACGGTGCATTCGTCTATGGTTATATGTCATTTACAGATAAATTAGCTAATGGTATTGTTATACAAATTATTGAATTATTATGGAATGAATGTTCTTCAGTGACTTATTATCAAAATGTTGAATCCTATGGGATTGGAGCATTTGTATTATGTCAATTGATTTTTCTATGTATTTATAAATGGCAAAAGACTAGATATGATACTAATGTGAACATTATTCATGAACATGTATAAGTGAATAAGATTCTGTGTTTGTCTTTTTTTTTCTAAACGCTCCAGAAATACCCCGTTTGTATTCCCAGAATTTTTAACTTGAGTCGATATATATATATATATATCTTTTTTATAAATGTTTAAACTCTACCCTAATATCAGTTTTGTTGTCTAATATACGTTTTTAAAGAAACGCTTTCCTGTTTTATTTGCGATCGCTCTGTTTTTCACTCGCTGTATTCCCAACACTCTCCAAATCGTATAAAGTAATTACTAAAATTGTGTACGTAATTATACATATATATATATATATATGCTCAACAGTCAATTTTAATTTTTGTTTTATACGATTAAAAGATGTCTAAGAGATTACTATTTTAATATTCATTTTCCCTAAAGATAATTCAGAGATTTTTCGCATTGACAGACAAATACCATCATTTGTACACTTTTAAATTCTTTTTTGTTTCAAAAATGGCGCCATTTTTGTCGAATATTGAAACATGGAATATTTTTGTGTAAAACCAAAACAAGCATATTTCTCTTTTAATACACATGTAATTAATTACAATGTTGATCTGCTTTTAGCTGCCCACATTATTTTAACATGACTTTCGATTCGATATTCAAGTGGACAGATGAATTCAAAACTTCCGGTTGTATACATATGTACTTTTTATGACTACTCCCCTTTATAGAAGCTATTATTATTATTATTGTTTGCATTTCTGCTGTTCACCTTGGAAATAAATCAAATAATAATCATTTCACGTGAAATCTTTTTTTCAAAGTAAGACATTCATTTGAAAAACGTGCCTTTTCCTTACACGTACGGTTAAATGTGGCATAATTTTACAATGTTATACGACTATTAAAACTTTCTCGGCACTTTTAGCAATAATAGAATTGGTGCCTTGAAATCATAATTTCAGAACTTCTAGACATTTAGGAACAAAATAACAAATTTAAGCACCAAGAAATATATTCCATTACCAGTGGTACAGTAATGCATAGACTTTCTTTGAGATACTGCATTAAAGCTGTACAAATCATACGGTGAAATTTTAACTGTGAGATGCATGAGGAGAGAATATGGTTACGGAAGTCACCAGGACGTCGTTATGTAATCAATGATATTGTAAAATAATGATAATCAAGAGAAATGGGGGGGGGAATGAATCAGTACCTGTATGAGATTTATTTAAACTCTAATTATTTGTCCGCCTCACCTTTTGTATTATGTAACTTTTAAGATTTGACCTTATTTATTTATTGAATTGTCTTCATATACACGTATTACTCTACTTTTGTTATTCTTATCCTCAAGTGCATACACCTTTTTATCATTATTTTGTTATCATTATAATCATCGTTATTACTAACGTTCAAAACATTAAACGCTTATTATTACTATTATTATTATGATGATGATTACTATTATTTGATCCACAAGCTCACTGTCATTGGTTATATTTTTTGTAAATAAAGTTATGTAAGTTAGAGTAAAGCCTGAAGAAGATCTAATTGAAAACAACAATATTTTCCGCTTATAATCCTTGTTCTCATATTAACATTCGGAGTATTGAAAGATCTCGAATGATGAATTAGTTGACAATTACTTAAGAAAACTGAGATACAAAGAAGTTATCTGAGTTGGCTAAAACAGTAATGTGCGTGGGTGCCACAGCAGTAGAGTGTTCGCCAGTCACGCAGGTGGTCCGGGGTTGGATCCCTGGCCGATACAAAGAGCTAAGTTAAACAATGGCGTCCCAAGGGATGTCAGCTCACGAGTGGCCTTAAGCCAACTGTGATCGTAAAAATAAGTGACTTTTGCACAAAATATATGACGTTTATTTACAAGAAAATGCATGAAAACACATTAAACAGGGTATCTTTCTCTGAAATTACTTAAAAATACGTCCTATTTGTGATGAGGATTATCAGTTTCTAAGTTAGACCAGCTTCTGCACATATATTCACTCAGGTGACTTAAGGTAAGCTTGTTTTTAAACTCGTTTATCGCTCTTATCCTGTTTCGCAGTCTTCCCCAATAGCCGTCGGTTGAACTACTATGGTTTCCAGTAAGAGAATCGGCGGCCACCTACTGGCAAAATGTGGATGATAAAACAAATTTAAATAAATAATACTAAATCTAAATTTATCTCTAGTCGTAACCATAACCTTGATCCTAACCCTAGTCCTAATTATAACCCTGCTCATAACCCTAACCCTAATACCTACCTTAACCCTAATCCTAACCCTAGAGAGCTAATAACACATTATCCAAACAGTACTTAAAAACGTGATCTGGATGAGATTTACTCCTTAGTTGATGAAAAGCGTTCGTATTTGTGCAGTAGTAATGACAGGTATCCTTGGCTAACGAATGACACGCGTTTAAGGTCATTGAAGCGTTCACATCCCTTGGGACGCTTTTGTTTAACTTCGCCACACGAAGGTAATAAAGTAATATCGATAAGGTCATTTTTGAGTAATTAGAGAAGTGTACATGGTATAATCCCATGTATCAGCATTCTCTAAATTTAGCTGAATAACTACAACAATCAAAGGTTACCATCATTTTTTGATTCAGTTTCGATTTTCCCGCTAGTTGACTGGACCAAAACATTCGACCACTGTTGACATGTTGGCTCTTAATCAATCAATGGGAAAACCGAAATTTAATTAAAAACATAAATAATGACTGGCACATATTGCTCAGGAGGTGGTCTAATGGATAAGGCTTTGGCGTTTGAGACGATAGGTAGTGGGTTCATGCTTCAGTGCGAAGACTATCACTGATTGGAGAATACAGGTATGCCCAGGCAACGAGTCCCAGATACGACGAAATACTTATGCTGGACTCCACTGCTAGTCACCACCCACGAAATTACTTTAAATTAGGGGCTTTACTACAAATGGTCATTTTGTTAGTTTACTCATAAAGTGGTAAAATTACTTGTGTAAGAAATTAGTTATTATTGACTACAAATGGCTCACTACAGCAGTCAGTATGCAGTTAAACACTATTATTTGTTATTATTGTTCCCTTGGGTTCCTAGTGGAACATAGGGCCTCAAATGCACGTCTCCACTTGCCACTTCTGTCTTCTGATGTACTTTACACATGCATCCATGTTAGTCCATACTATTTCAACTCCTCTTCACACGATCTCCTCCATGTCACCCTTGCACTGACGTCCCACTCGACGCGGGATGTCACCCAGTGGCTTCCTCAGCGAGTGTCCAATCCATCTCCACTTTCTCCTGCATATTTGTTGGGCGATTGGTTCTTGTTTTGTTTCTTCCCATAGTTTCTTGTTGGTGATTCTTTCCGGCCATCTGATCTTCAGTATAAATCGAAGACAGTTGTTGATAAAGGTCTGCAGTTAAACATACAAAGAATTATTGTTATAGTGACAGGTAATTTTCACTCCATACACGGCCAGGATCCAGAATAGTGGCAAACTAATCTGTACAAAATGAAAGTTAGAGCATGTAGTAGTAGTAGCTGGAAACAGTCATCACGCGAGTCAGTGAGATTATAAATGTCACCATCAGGAGACTTTTATTATTTCTTCAATAATTACATTTATTGGCTCTGTACAGGTATTTATTGGGACTTTTTTATTGGTATAAAGGTAATATTCCACAGCTGTCATCCAGGATGCGTCACAGACGATAGTAATGGGTAATTTGAGACAGTTATGGGACTAGGGACCAGTAACGTTTGCAGATCTTTTATTAATGTAAGCTGCCAAATATCTGCATTCTCAATCATCATTCAGAAAGTCATATGGAAGCTAAAATGGGGAGGTAAAAAAGAAAGACAAATGACAGCTGCACAGAAGAAAGCAAGTGGAGTTCTTAAGGAGTGATTTACAAATATATATATATATATATATAAACTGATATTATACAGTTAATATTACTGTATAACACTGTGTGATTTATCAAAATAAAATCTAATCTATAATGGGGTTAATGTAGCTTTGGTTGACGCCAAAAGTAGTAGCGCTGGGATTAATTATATGTTGTTTGTAGTATGTGGAGTGTTGAGACTTTGTCGCTATTGTTAACGGACTTGATCCTTTCACCAGTTAGTCCTCCGGTGTCGTTGACAGAAGAAAAGAGACAATAATAATAACGGATATAATTAGTGTAAGTTATTCAGACTAAAGGACAGAAAAAGAAATAAAGAAAACGTAAAAACAGACGGCTAACTAAATGTGAAGTTGTGTATAATATCAAAAATAATAATAAGCTTAAGTGTAGTATTTGAAGTAGTCAGGAGAGTAAGACAGGGGAGAATGTAAAGAAGTAAAACGATGAGTTTACATGTCTACCCATTAATGGTGTATGGGATTTCAGGGGGATAGGTCAATTAAACGCAGTCCTTGTGTCGCTGCATTGTTGTTCAGCTATCGTTTAAAGATGTCCATCGACGATGCCGTCGATACATCTTCCGGTAGGGAGTTCCAGGGACGGAAAACTTGCTGCGAAAAGAAGTGGGAGCGCATCCGGGTCCTTGCCCTCTGGTGAGCTCTCATCCTGGGATTTCCACGAGGAAGCCTATACCTACTCAATGGCAGAACACCTTTATTTGGGTGATTCTGGTCATTTGTTATTTTGTAGGCAGTAATCAAATCCTCCTAAGTGGACGGTAGCTAAGTGTGAAGAGACCTAACTTCTTTACTCGTTCATCATGCGGTTTGTTTCGGGGACCCATCACTCCTTCTATCGCCCATCTTTGAACTCTTTCCAAGAGGTTCACGTCTCTTCTAGGCTGTGATATTGTGCAATTCAAGGTAGGGTCTGACTTATGTTTTGTACAGATATATAAAGAGCTCAGAAGTGATTACCCCTAAATGTCTATGTGTAAAGTGTATGATCGCATATGGTTTCGCTGTATTCTCCGTGTAATTCACACTTGTGTCCATTTTCTCCGTTCAAAATAGACCTAAGTCACGCTCCAGCGTTGTACAGGACAAGCTTCCGATGTACATGGTGAGACTTCTTTTC